ATGCTTCCTGTAATTGGGGATCAGTCTTTCACATTGCGGTGTAAGAATTTGGTCCATTCCTCCATGGCAAACCACTTCAACTCAGTTACATTTGAGTTTTTGGACTTTTACTTGGGCATTCCAAAATGTTGAATTTATTCTTCATCCATTTTCTTATTGACTTGCTTACACGTTGGGTATAATTGTCATGCTGCATGTTCTACTTGCAGAATTCTTCTGTACAAAGCAGAATTCATGCTTGCATCAATGATGGCAATTCATCGCCAAACCATGTCACTAATACCTCCATGCTTTGTAGTTGGTGTGACATTCTTACTGTATAATGCTGGGTTTGGTTTCCGCCACATATGACAATACCCATGTAGCCTGAAAAGTTCTACTTTTGACTCCTTTGTTCATAGAATATTTCTTCAGAAGTCAGGAAGATTATCCAGATGGCTTCATGGAAAGTTTCATAATGCACTCTCAGAGTAATTTTCACAGGATGGCCATTTTGGGGAAGATTCACTATTGTCCTCAAATTTTTCCATATCAAGATTATATCTCTGATTTTGGATTACTGAAGCCCCAGAACTTTCAAAATAGTTTTGTAGGCTTTTCCAGAAGGATCATCATCAGTGACTTTTTTTACAGAAATCTTCAGAAATTTATTTTGAGTGTGGCATGATGTGCTTCTGGAATCTATGTGGTAAAGAAACCAACATTTGTGAGATTTATATAGGGCAGGGCAAAGATAAATTGGCTCTGATTGTTTAATAAAGTACTCAAACAACTGCCCCTAGTTATACTGAACTAAGGTGTGATTTTGGGTCCATATAATACATTTCTGAGATTGTGTAGAAGAAAATTTAGAAAGCTTAGTTTCTGAAGGCACTTTCATTCTTTTAAAAGTGTTGCTTGTTGAGCAAGTTGCTGTGAAAAATAGGACTTTTTAAAATAAAAAAGAGATCAGCACACTCACCTCCCCACCCCAAGCCTCAAGGGTAAATCCAGTGGTAGCGACAGATCCTACATTGGGCTGAACTGAGATGGCTTGACATCAAATGCAGATAGTGATGAAAGACTTGTACACATGTGTCATAGTCCTACTCCTGAGATAAACCTATCTTATTCTGTGCCCTCCCATCTTACTGGGAAATCTATATATAGATAGACTCAAAGGTAGAACCCACAAGTTTGGAGAGTGAATTTCAGGATAGAGATACTACTTCTCTTAAAAAAAAAAAAACAACTAAATTATTTGGAACATCGTCCCTCCTAAGATTAGATTGGCCTCAACTGTATTGGCCTTTCAGAAGACCCTGAAGACATCAGGCCTAAAGATCCCGTGGAGGTAGGGAGCCTGCAAGATGGTCGTATTGTTCATAAACTGCTGGTTGGCACTCTCCCGTATTTTATATTTTTGGTTATTTTAACTTTGTAAAAATTTAAATGTTTAATGGTTTTGGTTGTTTATTTACATGAGTTTTGTTTTTTTGTTACTTTAACTTTGTGAGCCACCCAGAGTCATGCGTGTGAGATGGCTTCCTCTCACACGCATGAATTGAATAAATAAAAAAATTAAATTAAATTAAATTAAATTAAAAAATCCATTTCTGGATGACTCCACCAAAAATGCTTGGTTGATCTTAAGAGTATTTACACCTGATTACTACTTAAGCCCATCTCAGGTCAGTCTCATGCAGTCTGACGTTTTTGAAACCTAAAACATCACAAAGGCACAATGGGTGTGAATATATTGTAAACTGGGGGAGGGGCTTCTTTTTTTTTTAAAGAGAAAAGCAAGCAGCTGTATGATCCATTTGCTTTGTCTATCTGGCATTGTGCAACATATTGTAGTTAGCTTTAATAATCACGGCAAAGATCAATGCTGGTTTTTCTTTCATAGAAGCATAGAATTGGAAGGGGCCATTAAATCTAACCCGTGGCTCTGTGCAGGAATCCAAATTAGAGCATCCCTGGCAGATCGCTGTGTAGCCTTTACTTGAACACATCCAGTGAAGAGACCCCCATCACTTTTCTAAATAATTGGTTCTGCAGTCAAGCTACTCTTAGGGTTAGAAAGGTTTTCTTCTTCATAACATTTGGCTGGAATCTGCCTTCCCATAACTTAAATCCATTATTCTGTGTCCTGCAGTCTGGGAGGAGAGAGAACACATCTTGACCTTCTACGAGACCACCTTTCAAGTATTTGAAACATATCCTAAGTCTGAGGCTTAGGATTCTAAGTTTCTTCAATCTCCCTTCATAGTTTCTAACCCGTTGCACCCTTGCCTTCCTTCTCAGATGATCCTCCTGTTTCTTTTGAAGTTTCTTTTAAAATTGGCCCATAAATAGACAAACTGTATGTGCTGGGAGAGATACTGCTGAGTATGATGGCACATGATAAATAAGATTTATCAGATAAATAAGATAAATAAGATAAATACTCTTATTTATCGTGTGCCATCATACTATATATACAGTATTTTCAAGATGTTTCTTGTGAGTCATTCTGCCAGTCCACCAAGGAATTGGTAAAAAATTGCAATTGCGAGGTATCTAGAGGCCACCTAATTATGGATGCTGTTTTTCTGGTTTGGTTTTGGTTTTTTGGATATTGGACTTTTTTTTTAGTTAGAAAGACCCAAAGTGAACAATAGAGGTTCTTCAAGACCACTTTACACCTATTTTTCTATATTCTGTATAGGAATTATGCAGTCTATTAATCTGTCTCATCTATTAATTATTAGTCTTCAAGACTAGGAGGAAAGGGGATTCTTTTTGGCTGGGTAGATCTTGACTTCTGGTGACTACATGGAGAAGTCTCTGCGGTATTTTTGGCAACATTTTTCATAAGTGGTTCACCATTGCCTTCTCCTAGGAGTGAGAGGGAATGACTGACCCAAGGTCCCCTAGCTGCTTTCAAGTAGGAGTAGAATTCAGGTTTCCCTGAACCACTTGAAGTTCCATAATCACTAGACTTGTGCAAAGCCTTTGAAAGACGCAGTTTGCAATATATGTATACAAAGCATCTCGCAATGTTGTTAAGGCAGCTGCAAGACTCGTACAGCTGCTTCAGGAGCCCTCTCCACACACATGTGCCTGTAGAACATCTTTGTTTTCTTAGTGAAAAGGCTGTGCCTATATACACATGCAGAGGAAGTCAGGAACAGTTTCCAAAGCCATGCGAGCCTTGCAATCAAGGCTGTTTTAATGATTTGAAAGTAGGCACTTCATCCATTTTTGGAGGTGGCTTGCCATTGCCTTCTTCCTAGGACAGAGAAAGAGTAATTGGCCCAAGGTCACCCACGGACGGACTAGAACTCAGCTTCCCTTGCTCCTAGTCCGGCACCTTAACCAGTAGTCCAGATTGACTCTCAGGAAGAAAATGCTTGGGGTAAAACCCCAAGCCCTGACAATCAGTACTCTATATTTCAGATGCCTTATATTTGATCCCGGGAAGTGGGGAGACAATCAATGGAGAAGTCAGGGTTATTTATTTAAGCTATGTATGTATTTATTTATTTATCTGCATCTAATACCTACGGGGACCAGTGGTCATATAGACTGGGGCTGGAGTCAAAATGAATGGAATGAATCAGCTGAGCTTAACTGGGTGGCTTATATAGCACCACAAGCTTGCCCAATGGGAGATGCTATATGAAAGGCCAGGACAGAAGTCCAAGACATCTGGGGCTTGATTGCAAGAGCATCGGATATACTCCAAGCCATTTCTAATATGAAGAACTTGGCCAAGTCCTGGCTTACATTTCAGGGATGCTCCGAGGGTAAATGAGAGGAAGTATAACGGCAACTGTTTTGCACTTAAAACCTGAAAGTGAATGTTAAGAAGTAGGTCTGCACAAACAGTGATCGTGGGTGATTGGAGCATGTTCTCTCCCTTCACTTTCACACCCTGCTGGAGAAGGTACGAGACCTACCAAACCAGCCCTGATGCTGGGAATTATTAAAATCTCATTGAATGTCCTTTTTACCTACTTCCTGTCATTCTGGCTGGAGGCAGAAATGATACTCGTTTTTCCAAATGCAATTGGAAAGCATGGAAACTCTCAAAGCTGCACTTACTTTAAAAGCAATGTTTTGCTAATGGCGGGTCAGTTTTGATTTAGGCCTGTAATTTGGCAAGGAAGAAAAATACCTATCTGCCGTCTCAAGGATAGCAATTTCGTGTGCTGTCCTAATATTCCCAGAATTGCTTTGCATATAACTAAAAGCTTTTTACCCTTAAAAATATGGAACTGGAAGTAGAGGAGAAATCATAATACTGGCTCCTGGAAAAATTGTCCTCAAGCTCCAAAAGAAAGAAATGTATTTTTGGAGCAAGCAAAAGGGTGTGTTATAAGTTTCCTGCTTCTCTTCTTCTCTTTGCTGATGGAAGTCAATTTCTTTATTTTAACTGTTGTGTAGTATTACACCTCTATCACTACGAACTAAGATTTGCAAATCAGCCCTAACCCCTGATCTAAAATTGTTAAGAGTTAATGTAGAGACAATATTGCACCATGGTTAACACTGTAGATCTGCAGCATCATATTTGGACTTAGCCATGACTTCCATGGATATGAAGGTCACAAATAATAAGTTCCACAAATAAATAATTGTGGAACTACTGCTTTTACTATCATCACTAATATTGTCGATCAGCTGCTGTTTAGCTCAATGTTCTACACAAGATTTATTAAATTTTAATATAATAACAAGGATACAATTATTAAAAACATAGTCAAGGTAGATGTGGAGCAAATATTAAGCAAGCCTAAGGGCAAAATGGTTAGACCAGGATTCAGAAATCTAAGCATAAATGAGACTTTCAACATGCCTCTATCTGGAATTCTAGGCAGCCGTGTTCTCTATACATGCTTCCTTCTATTTCTTTATAGAGTTTAAATACTTTTTGGTAATTCTGTTGGGATTTACAATTAATTGTTCTCTTAAGTGATCAATGGAAGCTCTCTAGTCCCTTTTTTAAAATAAAGATGTTATTTATTTTCTTTCAGCATGGATGTCTATTTGCTTGTGGTGTGAGCTAGGTTTTTGGACAAAGCAAGGCTTTAGGAACAGAACAGTTGAAAGAGAACCTCCAGTCAAAGGTAAGCCTCTCGGTCCTGGGATACTTTATGGGGCCTGGTAATGATTCTTCGTAATTTTATAGTTTCAGTGCTTCTCCACCTCAACTCTTTCAAGCCCCTGAAATTGGTACTTTCAGAAATGTTGTACAAAGACTTCTTTTTGATCCTGTCATGCCTCTGTCACTAAGCAAACTTGAGTTCCTGTGGAGTCCTTGGTGCCCTCTGAGCTTGGAGGTTTGCTTGCAGACGTTTCATTACCCAACTAGGTAACATCATCAGTGCTAGTCAGTGTGGGGTTTGCCCCCTGTTTATATACAGTAGCTTGCCCTGCCAGTTTTGATGGGAGTGTGGTTTTCTCCTTGGTAGTTCCTTGATTAGGGTATTGTTTTCTGCCTGATTGCCTGCTGTTGATCTCTGCTTGTCTGAGTGTTGCCTGCTGGAGAGAATATCTTCTAGTCTTTTTGTTTCCTTCCTAGGTTTTTTATTGTCTCTTTTGAATGGTGTGTAAATGTGGTTTATCTTTATATGTGTATTGATGGCTGATGTGTCTGAATGCCAAGCTTCCAGGAATTCTCTAGCATTTTTGCATTTGAGTTCCTTCTTTGAGGATGTGAGGAATTACCTGTGAGGAGCTTCCTGTGAAGAAAATAAAAATTGTAACTTCAAATGACAGGTCAGATTCAGAATGGACACCCTCAAACAGAACGTTTCCCTCCATTGGCAGAGGGAACACTCATAGAAGTGCCTGGTTGCATGAAGAGGATATAGTTGTAATTTCAGGTGATTCTTGCTTCTACAATCCCAGGGCTACCACATGTTCGCCTCCTGGGTTCTGTAACTTTCCTAGATTTTTCAAGCATTTGAGGTTGCAAAGAAGAAATTCATCAAAAATAATCTCTTCCCTTCTTCCCTTGGAGTGCTACTATTAAAGAATTCTACTCCATGCATCTCTAAACTTGCCTGATGCTTATTTCATTTCCATGTATGTTTTTAAAAAATAGCAGGAAATTGTACTTCTGAAATGGCTCCGTTTGCTTCTAAAATTTGGCAGCAGAGCGTATCCAAGGACTCTGGTGCACAAAACTGTGGTTTTGTGGCTTTGTGTGGCCCGTAGGCTGCAGGTTCCCCACCCTGCCCCTAATCCTCTTCTTCTCATCCCAGTCTTATGGAATTAGCTTTATTATAAACGCAACTTTTCAGAATATTTTGTCTTTTAAATTATTTCTGTATTGTAGCAATATTTGTATACAGGTAGTTCTCAGGTTATGACCACTTGTTCAGCGACTGTTCAAAGTTATGACAGCACTGAATGAGGGAGACTTACAACTGGTCCTCACAGTTACAGGTGTCGCAGCGTTCCATGGTCATGTGATTGCAATTTGGGTGCTTGGCAACCAGCCTGCAATTATGACAGTTGCAGCATCCTGCGGTCACGTAATCACCATTTGGGACCTTCCCTGCCGGTTTTCCACAAGCAAAGTCAATGGGGAAGCCAGCAGGAGGTTGCAAGTCACTCCCACTCCCACTCCCACCACTTTTTCACCCTCACGCACGCCGTAGTGCCCACCCATGGTACCCGCCCACTGTCCTGCTTGCCTGGAACTCCATGTCATAATCACGTGAGGTCCTCACTTTACAACCCATGCAGTCCTGGGGTTACAATGGCAATTGGGGTTGCCATCGCTAAGCCATGCAGTCACATGATATGACTGCATCACTTAGTGACGGAAATGCCGTTCCTAATTGCCATTGTAACCTGAGGACTACTCATATGTGTTTGTGATATACACAAAATCTACCATTCCTGGAATGGAACGTTGTTTCAGAGAATCTTGGAATGTTCCATTTCTCCTCTTGCTCATGCTGATTCATCTGTTTTGGTAGTGGTGTGGTGGGTTTTTATGGAAGTTAATGTTCTTGTTCTTAAGTAGTTAATCTTCCAAGCCAGTTTCATCCAAAATATCACTTTGGAAACACCAAGGACCCAACTACCTATTCAGAAGACGAACCTTTAGGAAACCACTAGACCACGCCTAGAATAGTTGAATTGGTATGGTCCAAAGGAAGAACGGAGTATTTTGGAGAGCCTTCTCTGCTGTTGCCCCCACCCTTTGCAATATTCTCCCCCAGAGGTGGGGCAGGCCCCTACCCTCCTGGCTTTCCGGAAAGGATTAAAGACCTGGCTCTGCCAGCTTGCATGAGGTGACAAGAATCTTATGCAATCCTGGGGGTGGCTGGTGCCTTGATGATGCTGCCTGAGTGACTGCCAATTTAACATCTATTCTTGGATTATATTTATTTTCTATTCATTCAGGATCATTTTATATTGTATTTTTAATTGATTTTAACTGCTTTGTAAACCACCCAGAGTTGTTTTTTAATGAGACGGGCAGTGACAGATTTTATAAACAAATTAATTCATTATTTAATTAAAGTTAAAATATTTAATTTTAATTAAAATTAATTAAAGAATATTCCACTCCCAGAGCTGTTGGTTTTGCATATCCCATGTGTGCATGCATGCAGAGGTTTTCAAAATCTAACCGACTCTTCCATGTTAACTGGGATGAATTAAACAAAAAGAGTGAAATTTGTATTTTCTCTTAATATCCTTTGTGAGATCATCTGTGTTATAAAGTCAAGATGATTAGGCCGCAAACCACTCAGCTCTCATTTACAAGAAAACCAAGCTATCAGAAAAACAGTGGCTTAAGCCTCAGTTCAAAAGCTTCTGGGATAAATATGAATCTGTTTTTATTTATTTAGTAACCATAACAATTTAGCTTTTCAGTTCAACTCTGTGTTGGAAGTGGGCAGGTTACAAGCATGATGAATAATAGTAGTCTCTAACAACTTAATTTTAATAAATGATAATAATGGCATTTATATAATGCTTTTTGAGTCCTTGAATGGCCGTATATATACCACTGTAATTCTGTGTCGAACAACCATAAAAGTTAGAGGAACGAGCAGTTTGTCTAAAGCTCTGTATGGAGTTTATATGGGGTCAAAGTTAAGTGGAACTTGGTACTTTCGTGTTGTTCACAATTTTAATTGCTACTTTACTCCAAAGCTGGCAATCACTGGATTTAGTTAAGTTTGAATGAGATCCAAAGAATGGTCTCTAAATGCCTTATCCCCAAATCCCAATTTTGAAAAGTCAAACAGTAGGAGAAAAGTTGTGATATATTGTGTTTGTTTATTATTTATTTACTTAAATCTCTGTGGCTGCTCATCTCATCCAGGGCCCTCTGGATAAAAGAAAGTCAAATTTAAATCACAGTAGCTTGTGATTCTGTCAGCCCATTGCTTTTATGGTGAAGTATTTTGTGCTTCAGTATTTCACTTGTCTGTCAGCTAGTGTTCATAATTTAAAGCCCCATTCATCATGCGTCTGCTGGAAAGTTATGTTTCATTGACTTCCATGAGGCTTAGTTTAAGTAAGTGAAATTGTGGCTTGAATCTGTCGGAAAGAACTTCAGGCTGAGATATTTATTTTGTAGACGCTCTAAGCCAGGAATGAGGAATCTTTAGGTTGCTGAAGTGTGTTCCTGAGGCTTCCCTTAACCAGAGATGAAAAGCAAAAGGAAGATAGCTTTCTAACACCTTCAGTTCTTGGCTACCATTCCTCTTTCCGGCTGGGAAAAGGGAGAAGCCAGAAGACACATCGTAAAGGCAATGGTGTGGCCTTCAGCCTGCAGTTCTTGACCACTAACATTTTCTTCACTTGTTCTTCGGGGAAGACAAGGATCAGTTGAAACAGGAAGCTGCTACTTGATGATACTTTGGTCACCTTCAAGTGGCAGCTCTTTGAGTAAAAACAAGAGGATAATAAAACCAGCTCGTCACAGAGCTGAATGCATTCAGCTCCTGAGGAGAGGACCCCCTAGATTTAATTTTTGTTCAGTTAATCTGCAAATATTCAAACAAAATCAAAATATAGTTTTTCTCCAGGCCTCATCCACCCATTTTTGCTATTATCAACCTTCCTTCCAGTCTGTCTTGCATGCTGCTTTCCATCACTGAAGGCCCAAATTTGAAAACCAAATTTTCCCACCCATTAGGAAGAGGGTGGGGTGGCTTCTGGAGCAGTGCACGCGTTCCCATTCTAGGCAAGCCGATATAAAGAGCTAACAGTGCTGGGGGGGCTTTGTGGGAGGGGGCTTCAGTGGCTAGAAGGGAGAATTGGGTTAGATTCCATTAGCAAATTCAGGGTTCAGTCTATAAGTCAGTTCCGATCTTTTGGTCCAGTCTAATTTTCTGAGAAGGAACAGAATCATGTAAACTGTTCTGTGTTCCTTGGAGGGATGGTCAGACATGCTTAGCTTATGTTTGAAAGTAGGACAGCCTGTGAAGTGGCTTAAAATCACTCTCATGCACGTGTGTTCTCTCTCTCCCTCCGTCTCAAACTCTTTTCCCCGCCCCCATTGTTGGTCTCAATCTTTGATGATGTCTGTATCACAGGGGCTTTGCTGACGTAACGGGTTTAACCCAATTACTGAATTAACCGATGTTCTGGGCTTGCACGATACCTTGAACCATAAACTAAGTAGGGGGCCTCAGTCCACGCAGCCCCTTACGCCAAACACGGCTAGAGCCGAGGAAGCGTATGGCGTTTTCTGAATGCGGTCTCTGGGTTTGCAATCCCTGTGGGGAGCCTGCAAGACGGCTGTATTGTGCTTAGTTGGTTGCCATTCTTCGCAGTCTCGGTTTTTATAGTGTGATGGGCGGCTATATCGAATTAATTAATTAATTAATGATCTGGTTAAGCAAGTTGTACAGTATGAACACAGGTACTCGTGATTAAATCTAGAGAGGCTTCACCTCATAGACTGAACTGGAGAGCAAGGCTTGAAATGGCTTTGCAATCTGGAGTTAAGGAGGAATCTAATGGGCTTTAGCTAGTATTAGAGCTAGTGCACAGTTTTTATCTTAGCTCCTGGGTGAGTCTCACTGAAGGATTACGTGTGACTGAGGTTGTCTTCTAGATCCGCCTGTTCATTACTCCTGTGTAGCACTTTGGATCTGAAAGCAAAAGGCACTTCGGAGCAAGCAGGAGTGCACCTGTAGCACAACTCCTTAATCCTAATAATGTAGGTCTTTTCTCAGGATTGTGGTGCAGTTGTGGAGTACAACTGAACAGTCTCAGGAGACAAAACAGTTGCTTTAAGGTGCTTCTGTAGGTTCTCAATACTCCTTTTGCCTTTAAAATGGAAGTGCTGCATCGCGCTAGGAGTTGTATAGATTTTGTTCTGGACGTGTTTCATCTTGACTTAGGAATGGAGAAAGAAGGTTGGTACACCATAACTACAGTACAGAAGATTGTTTCGGGGAACAATGCAAACTATTATACTTCCAAAATATTTACTTCAGGAAAACTACTAAACCCTGTTTAGAAAAGCTGGACTGGCATATTTTGGAAGAAAAATGGATTGTTTTGATGTTCCCTGGAATGGTCCTGGAAAGGGAGGTTTTGTACACCATCTGTTTGCTGAGACGCTGGTACTGTAATTGTGGTAGATATATCAAGAGAGTTACTATATCAGTAAGGGATGTAAAACTAATAGCCCCAGGTCTGTCGATGGTTCCCAGAACCTCTCCAGAAGTTCTCTCCAAGAAAAAAATGTGATGCAACAGAAAAATAAAACAGGGTGTAGTCATATGGATTATATTTCATTAATTTGATTTAAACTAGGCCAAACCCATTTTGGTTCTTGCCTGAGCCCTCCCACTTCTTTGTCCCGGTCCCACCCACTTTGGCGATTGCAGCTTGGGCATGGCGTTCAAAGGCCTGTAATTGCAGAGCTGAATATAATACAGATTTGTGCCACTGTGGACCATTGATTGAGGACAGTAGATTCTATATAATTTTCATGTTATGTTGTTCTGTTGTGCACTATGATTGTGACAGCAATGGCTGTTAAGAGAGATGCTGTCAGTTCCACCTTTCAGCTAGGCTTTTTTTACCAGTATAAGAGCTTCAAATGACTGGTTTGATCAGTCCTTGAGCTTCTCGAGCTGAAACCAGCTGGACAACAAAGTTGCTTCTCAAGCTGATCTTTGGAAGTACGTTGGGGGTCAAGTGGGGACTTGGATGCATTTGCAAATCCTTGCGACTGTCAGTGCATGAAAAACAGCTTGGTTCCCACAGTCCAAATCTGAGCTGGCAGAAGCGATGGGGGGAAAAATGCCCGCTTGTACAGTCTGTTGGTGAGATGGAACAAAGATTGGATTATTATCCCTCATCCTTGTCTCCCTGTTAGTGGCACATTAGAAGGAAGTCTTAGAGCTGTCTTGTCCGAGAAGGCACCTTCCAGATGTATTGGACTACAGCTCCCATCATTTCCAACCAGCCTGGCCGCATAGATAGAAGTGAATTCAACACATAGTTAAAATATGACGTGACTTGGCCTTGGGAATTTCTGTGCATGCACTTTTTCTGCTACATCCCTTTGCCATACCTGTCTATCAAGACCAGCAACTTCCTTCCTTCTTCTCTTCTTTAACGTTCCTCAAATCCTCCCAAAGGACATGGCCAAAGATGTTATGACCATACAGGGCCATATTTTTCAGCCCTTTTTGTAGTGGCTGGAAAGCTTTCAGGAGCATCTGGGGCCTCTCTGCGGTGATTTTTTTCAAAAAGCTTCTGTAATTTACTCCATAGAAATAGATTCGTTTAAAATGATTCTCCTAGCGCTTGACACTGCATAGAAGCTCAGTTTAGAAACAAAAATAAAATCTAATGTTGTGAGGAAGGGAGGGAGAGGGAAATGAATTAAAGACCTCGAAAGGACAGAATCCAAACCCAATGCATAGCAGCGGATTTAAACAACATATTAAACATCTCAGTCAGAAGTTGCTAGAGTATCCAGTTCGTGTGTGTGTGTGTGTGTGTGTGTGTCTGGAGAATCCTTCCTTAATGTGAAAGTGTGCATATTCTAGAACACTTTTCCCTGAACTGTCATTGTTCTCCACTGGAATTGGATTATAAATTTAATTATTCCCCTCCATCATGCTAAGGCTGATTTGTGCTATTCTCTATCAGATAATCACGCACTTAATTGGGTAAAAGGTGTCCTAGGGCTTTGGACCCACTGCTGAGAAGGCACTGCTCTCTCCTGTCTTCTGTTAGGGAGATTTTAGGCAAGATCCTGCTAATTGATTTTACAGGTAAGGGCATATCCTGAGGGGTAAAGATAATATTGGTCTATGCTGTGACTATGGCATAGTAGACAATATTCACGATAGCTAAAATATATTCCCATAATCTCAGGGACTAGAAACTTGACTTTAATAAGATTGTATCCTACCCTACCTTACTCTACCCTACCGTACCCTATCCATATATAGTAAATACATCTGGAACTTGCAGTCCCAATACATCAGAAGCCTACCAAGTTGGGTAAGGCTAGAATAAGGTGACTGTGTAGAAATGAGGACAAGCCTCATGTATCTTTATGGATTTCTTCTGCTTGTCTCTTTGGGTAAATAACATTTGGTGACCTCAGAGATTTCAGTCTTCTTGCTAAATACAGTGGTACCTCGGGTTACGAATGCCTCTGTTAACGAATTTTTTTGGATTACGACCAGCTCCAGCCGCAAAAATTTACCTCGGGTTGCGAACCAGATCCA